TCTTCTTCTTCTTCTTCTTCTTCTTCTTCTTCTTCTTCTCCTTCTCCTTCTCCTTCTTCATCGTCTTCTTCGTCTTTGTCTTCTTTGTCTTTTTCCTCTTCTTCTTCTTTTTCCTCTTCTTCTTCTGGAGAGAAAATGAGAAATCCAAGATTCTTCTGGGAAGCTGCTGCTCTCTCCTATGATGGTTTAGCAGAACATCTGCCGCCTGACAAGCAGGATTGCAGGTTTTGAAGGATATTGGTGTGGGGGGGGTGTTCACTCTTCAGAAGCATCATTTGGTGCTCCCGAGTGGCATTTCTGCCTGTTTCTCCAACCACTGGTGGTCTCAGGCTGGAATTAGGACAGTGTGTTAAAGGAATTGCCGAGGCAGAAGGTCGCAGCAACGAACGGTGGGACACCGCTCGCCTAGCAACAAGAAGGTTGCAAGTGAGAAGGACATGTTAGAAGGATGCTAGCTAAGGCATATAGATCTACAAACTTTCGGAAGCTTTAGTTCAGGGATGGCGAACCTTTTAGAGACTGAGGGCCCACACTGCAACCCAAAACCCACTTATTTATCGTAAAGTGCCAACACGGCAATTTAACCTGAATACTGAGGCTTTAGCAGGGATGGGATTCAGCCGGTTCGCTAATTTTACGGACGTTAATTTTAATCTGCTTCGGCGAAACGGTTGTTCTAAGAACTGGCTGACCCAGTCCTGCCCCTTCCAGGAATGTCCACACGGCCCATTTTGGATACAGGGCATGCGTGGAGGCTCTGGGAGGGCGAAAAACGGGCCTATCAGAAGTCCAGAAACAGGCCTGTTTCTGGCCTCTGGAGGGCCTCCGGTGCTTGGGGGAAGTCGTTTTCACCCTCCCGGAGGCTCAAGAAAAGCCTCTGGAGCCTGGGGAGGGTGAAAACTGGCCTACTGGAAATATCGGAAGTCCAGAAATGAGCCTATTAACGGCCTCTGGAGGGTGCACGAAGCAAATTAGTTGTTACAAACCCCACCACTGGGTTTTAGTTTAGAAAAAGCAACTCATACATTAACATCTTTTATCTTAAAAGAAAAACATAATAACAGAGCTTTCAATGATGCAAACAACTTATGATATTTACAATTTCGGGCCCACCTCAACCATAAATGTTATTATGTTTTTACATTTCTGAATTGCCCATCTCCCTCAAAGAGGGAATCTTGCCGATGGCAGCTCTGTCCCCAAATACATTAGGGCAACATTAATAGAGGATTTGAACCCCAAAATCAAACACAGCCTTCCCATTCGTCTTAGCATGGTAGAGTCTAGCTTATCATCATAGTAAAAGGCACCCCTGTTTTGACATGAAAACTTATTAACGTAAACATGCGATTGTATGCAGGAGGAGTGTAAAGCAGAAGAATCCAATCAAAAGGGAGACGTGTTGAGGAAACAAGGACCGATTGTTAGAGTGTTTGCTTCTTTAATCATAGCTGCATGAAATTTGTACAGGTAGTCCTTGACTTATGACCACAAATTGAACCCAAAATTTCTGTGGTTAAGCGAGACATTTGTTAGGTGAGACCTTTTGCCAAGTATGAACCAGTTGCCCGGCATCTGAATTTGGATCACGTGATCATGAGGATGCTACGAAGGTCGCAAGTGTAAAAAACGGTCATAAGTCACTTTTTTCGGTGCCGTTGCAACTTTGAACGGTCACTAAATGAGCTGCTGTAATTGTGCATCGTTCGTGTCAACTCGCAAAGCATCCCTGGCCTGCTCTCGAGTTGCCATAGGCAAGGGGATGGGAAAACGGCGAAGACATCTCTCTCTCAAGGCTGTCTCCCAGGGCTACCCACAGCAGCCGGAGGGGAGTGATTTCTACAACCCGCAAAATTGCTCCGTTGGCGAATGTGACTGATGACACACTCTGGGGGGAGCGGGGGAAACAGGGTCATAAATTACATGGGGTCAGAGTTGGCTTCACTTGACATGATGCTCCTAATAAATAACTGGATTTCTTTTGAAGCTTGGCTCAAGGCTCATGATTTAATTAGAGCATCCGGAACCTGACAGCTCGGGGTCTCGGCTCCTTTAGCTGTCGAGACCCTTTCGCAGGAGTATTCCAATAAAAGAAGCTGAAAATGACATTCTTCGTGTCTGGTAGTCTTTATTGGCTTTGGCACCAGGCTAGGACCCGTTTTGGGAACAACAACACTTCTGGTAAGAGCCAGAATGTGTCTCGGTCTGCCAAGGAGACATTACGACTAGCCGTTCAAGAAAACACGAGTAAGAGAGGCGGGCGGGATTTCCCTCCAGAGACAGGAATGGGTCTGATCCCGCTAATGGGTTGCTGAGAAAGAAACCCATCTTTCAGCTAATGCTCAGGAAATCAAAACCTCTGGATGACAGATTTCCTTTGGCCCTAACACAACCCTTCTGATGGGATTCTCGGCCCCGGATCCTTGTCGCGCTCCTGCTCCCAAGTAAATTAAACTCATTTGTCATCATAATCGGTAATGCAATGTGTCGCCAAAGCAGGAGAACAGCCAATTGGAAAAAAAAAAAAAAACCTGCAAGGACAGCTGCGCGATTGGGTGGCTGCGAGGCCTCCAATGCTACCGGAGAAAGAACAATTTGATTCCTTGTCAGGGGGCCGTCAAGGCAAGCAATGGACTCCTTCAGCTAGCTAGCCAGACCTGCGGAGCAAAAGATCAGGGAGGCCCAGAAAAATAAGACTTACTGTCCCAAAGGTGTTTTTTTTTTTTTTCAAGAGGCCACTGGATTTTCTTGTTTTTTCTTTGAAGACATTTCGCTTCTCATCCAAGAAGCTTCTTCAGCTCTGACTGGATGGTGGGGAAGGGAAGGATTGATACTCCTTGCAGACAGCTGGTCATTTGCATCCTTTTAGAGGGTCGTTGACGCCACCTGGAGGTTTTATCCTCTGTCTCCTCCTCCTCCTCTTCATCGTCAGAACCTTCTCCTGCTCCTCCTACTTCTCCTCAGGACCTTCTCCTCCTCATCCTCAGGACCTTCTCCTCCTTCTCCTCCTCCTCCTCATCAGGACCTCATCATCATCATCATCAGGACTTTCTCCTCCTCCTCATCATCAGAACCTTCTCCTGCTCCTCCTCCTTCTCCTCAGGACCTTCTCCTCCATCTCCTCCTCCTCCTCTTCATCGTCAGAACCTTCTCCTGCTCCTCCTCCTCCTCCTCCTCAGGACCTTCTCCTCCTCATCATCATTAGGACCTCCTCCTCCTTCTCATCATCATCATCATCAGGAGCTTCTCCTCCTCCTCCTCCACATCAGGACCTCCTCCTCCTCCTTCTCATCATCAAGACCATCTCCTTTCCCCCCTCCTCATCAGGACTGTCTCCTCCTCCTCCATCAACAGAACCTTCTTCTGCTCCTCCTCCTCCTCAGGACCTTCTCCTCCTCCTCATCATCAGGACCTGGTATTACTCCTGAAACTAGCTCACGAAATTGCCTAGTTCATGTCTCAGAGGGTGGGTTCACACAGCACGCAAAACCCCAACCGGGTTTTTTTTAAAAAAGCTACTGCTCCTCTCACATAACCTGAATTATGGTTTCCTAGGGCGAAATGTAAGAGTGGAGTTTCACACAGAAGGCCAAGGAAGAGGCCGGGATCCCCACCTACACGCTGCCGAGCCACCAACCACCCAACCCAAACGGGTTGTAGGAACGAGTGGAGCCCAGAAATCTTCCACTGCCCTCTCCTGAGCTCCAATTGACCTGTTGGCCAACTGGATTCACTGTGAGGAAAACAATGCCGTTATCATTCCAGGAGGGGGCTTGGTTACACCATCTGCCAACCAGGAGCTGGCACTAATTGCAGTATTTATGGCCCGTCTGTACAATGACAGCGTTTCCCCTAATAAACCGAATGGTGCTCTCGTTTATCTTCACCGTGGCCATCAAGGAAAGCCCCCTCCACCCCCCAACCCCACCGTAAATTTCCTTAATTTTGTACGAAGTTAGCACTTACCCCTTTCCTAGAAGAATGTAATATTCCAGGAAATATTAAAAAGAATATTATACGTCCCTGGCAGGGGTGAAATGCTCCCGGTTCAGACCGGTTCAGCTGAACCGGTAGTGATGGCGACTGGTGGGTCAGAGAACTGGTAGCGATGGCAGCTGGTGGGTCGGAGAACCGGTAGCGATGGCGGCTGGTGGGTCGGAGAACCGGTAGTGATGGCGACTGATGGGTCGGAGAACCAGTAGCGATGGCGGCTGGTGGGTCGGAGAACTGGTAGTGATGGCGGTTGGTGGGTCGGAGAACAGGTAGCGATGGCGGCTGGTGGGTCGGAGAACCGGTAGTGATGGCAGCTGGTGGGTCGGAGAACCGGTAGCGATGGTGGCTGGTGGACCGGAGAACCAGTAGCGATGGCGACTGGTGGGCCGGAGAACCGGTAGCAATGGCGGCTGGTGGGTCGGAGAACTGGTAGCGATGGTGGCACGAGGCTCCGCCCATCCGCTCGGTCGTCATTACTTCCTGGTTTTAACCAGGAAGTAACCTGTTTTTTACCCTCTGTGCATGAGCAGAGGGTCCGCACGCAGGGTGCGTTTACTTCTGAACCGGTTGGGAAGGTAAGTAGGTTTCACCCCTGCTCCCTGGATGAGAAATGAAGAAACATGTTTTTTAGGCAGGAAGCAGACTCGCTCTTAATAGCCCCCACACTCTCAATAGCCCACAGCCGATGTCAGCACTTAAGAGATAAAGAGATAGCTAGGTCTATTCATAAGCAAATGCCCTCACTCAAGATCCAACAAAGATAGGATTAGCCCTCTAGCTAATCCTAGCAACAGAACTCGTCATGTGGCACCTGGGGAGACTGCATCACCCAGCTAGGCTCAACCAAGCCTGGGACTCAAAGAACCTACAAAATTACCCCTCGCATGGCCCCATGGGAGTCTGACAACCAATCAGAACACAAGCTCAAATTCAAAGCCCAACAGAGGGTATAAATCTCTCTCTCTCTCTCTCTCTCTCTCTCTCTCTCTCTCTCCCACATGCCTTTTTTGCCCACGACCTCAAAACCACGTGGTCCTGCTGTCCACCATTAAACCATCTTTTCCAGCAGTCTCCAGGTTTCCAGGATCTTTCTCCCCACTTGGAACTGAACCCAGATGGACATTTCTTCCAACAGTTTCCAACTGAATTCTCAGACCGTTGCGTCCAGCTTTGGAGAAGGGCAGGGAGAGGAAACGTCCTGCGGTCATCCAGAAAAAGACATAAACCTTATTTAGTAAGCTTCCCAAATACGAATTGTTTTTATAGGGTCGTTCCCAATTAAAAATAAATAAATAAATACTGAGATGGTGGAAGAGGAAGGCGCGGAAGAGATAAAACCGCTCGGCAGATTTAGCCAGCCGGATCAAAGGAATATCCCTCCCACCGATCTGGCCAAGTTAGCAAGAAGGTTAAAACTTACTAAGCTGTGGAATTGCTCTGGAATTGTTCACAGCTCCTTTTACTCCTCCTTTGCTTCTCTCCAACACAAGAGTTCGGATCTGCAACGGAGAATTAAAGCATTTTTAGCCCACATGGAGGAGGACGAGAGTTGGTCCCAGTCAAATACCCTAAGTGGGAACCGGTATAATACGGTAGGGTTCACCCACCATGTCAGGTTCAATTCACTGAACAGGGTAAGCCAACCTTTAGCTGGGTTTGTATCCCAGACAAAGCTACCAAACAACTCTAACCAAGATGGATTACGTAGTCCAGATTTCTGCTGGCCCTCAAGTCCATCTCTCCCTGCACCGAGGCGGTTAGAGGCCATGGGGTTTCGGAGGTTAGCTTTGTGGCTGCATCTCTTCCTGCCTAGGTCATGAAAGTGAGCAGCTCACCCAGTTGCCAGAAAGGCAGCGGAAAACAATTACTAGAGGAACTCGGTCTGCCTGACAATCCATCACTGCTGACTGTCACGGTGACAGATGTAATAAATACCCGAGAAAGGATTGGGGGCAGGAGAGAAGTAGCTATAAAGACAAGGCGGAGGGAGGAAGGGAGGGAGGAAGGAAGGGAGGAAGGAAGGAAGGAAGGAAAGAGAAGGGAAGGAAGGAGAGGGAAAAGAAGGATGGAAGGAAGGCAGGAAGGCAAGAAGGAAGGAAGGAAGGAAGAAGGAAGGAAGGAAGGAAGGAGAGATAATGGGGAGGGAGGGAGGGAGAGGGAGAGGGAAGGAAGGGAGGGGGGAGGCAGGGACAAAGGAAGAGTAAGGAAGGGGAGGGGAGGAAGGCAGGCAGGCAGGCAGGAAGGAAGGAAGGAAGGAAGGAAGAAGGAGGGAAGGAAGAAAGGAAGGAAAGAGAAGGGAAGGGAAGGCAGGCATGAAGGAAGGAAGGGAGGGAATGAGGGAGGGAGGAAGGAAGAAAAAGGAAAGGAAGGAAGGAAAGCAGGAAGGCAAGAAGGAAGGAAGGAAGGAGAGATGGGAATGGGGAGGGAGGGAGGGAGAGGGTGATAGAGAGGGAGAGGGAAGGAAGGGAGGGAGGGGAGGGAGGCAGGGACAAAGGCTGGCAGTGGGCAGAATTAACCTGCAATATTGCATTCTAACCACTGGGAAGGAAGGAAGGAAGGAAGGAAGGAAGGAAGGAAGGAAGGAAGGAAGGAAGGAAGGAAGGAAGGAAGGAAGGAAGGAAAGATCCGTATCCCCCTCCGGCACATATATTGGAGAATTCCCAAGTTTCTTTCCCCAAAGAGCAGGAATTCCCAGGGCTTGTTCCCAGGCAGGCCTTCCTAGCATTTGTTGCTTGACTCTTGGGGAATTCTGGGCTAAAGGCCAGAAGAATGAATGAATGAATGAAAGAAAGAAAGAATGAACGCCACTTCCAAGAAAAGACTTCCACGGCTAGACGGAGAATCTCCCCCCTGCTAATAAAGACACCGCCTTCTCCTTGATGCTAATAAAGAGGTCTCCTCATCAACCCTGTTCCACCAAGATCTGGACTTTGCCGGCTTAGGAAAGCCAGACACATGAGCCTTTTAGATTTTAATCCTTTTTTACTCTTTAAGGGTCTTAGAGCCACATCATTCCCCACCCCACTCTCTCTCAAAGTCTTATCACGCAGCACTGAGTTCTAGGAGATAATCCCACAGAAAAGCAAAGTGAATCTCACCCTGGGCTAAAAACGAGAACAACATTCTCTTCCAAGTCCTTGAAAGAGAGACGTTGCCATTATTATTATTTTTTTGAAGAAGAAGAAGAAATGATCGGATAAAGGGCAAAGAAGTTCCTTTTGCTTCTCAAGGGGGGGGGGAACTCGGAAAGCTGGCAATTTAAGCCGCGCCCAAAAGCCCTGGTTGACAGTTCTTAATAATTACCTCGGAAGGTTCAGGATTATTGAGCAGAAATGAAAAGCTAATCCCTCTTCTCAGTGGCCCAGGGTGACCAGGGCATCATACAGAGAAATAACAAGCCCCCTCATCCCTTGTCTTCACCCCACCCCCACCCCCGGACTTTGATTTTAAGCAATGAGGTCGCGCCCCTCGAGTCACTGAGTCCACCCCAAGATCACAGGCACCTATTTTAAGTCTGGCTGCCTGCCATGCTTGCAAATGGGAAAACCCTCTGGAAAAAAAAATGCTGTGGGGGATATTGTTGTGGCCCGCCAGCAGCCAGCAGAGCTGGCAGCAGAGTCGGACAGTGAGGAGGTTGGAGAGGAACTTAGGCCAGTCCTGGGGGCTGGGGAAAGCTCGGACGTGGGCTCTGCATCGGAGGCAGAGAGGGAGCCAAGGCCATCTGGTAGTTCTTTGCTGCCTCCGGAGCCTCCGGAGCCTCCGGAGTCTGACATCAGCGAGGCAGAAGAACAGCGGGAGCCTGTTCCCAGTGTGCCCATGTGCAGAGCTGCCGGGAAACAAGAACAATTAAGGAAACAGGGTCGACTTGGGAGTAAGGCTTGGAGATGATTGGCCCCTCCCATAAGACCTAAAAGAGGAGCGAACGGGATGTGAACTTTTGCAGGAAGCAATCAGTTCATCTGGTCGGTTCAAGCTTTGAAAAGTTCTGTTTGACTCTGTGCCAAGTTTGGCCTTGCCTTGCGTGTGGCAATTAGTTCTCTGGTAGCATTCCAAGGGAGATAAGGTGGGTGTTTATAAACATTCCCCTGAAAGACTGTTTGTGAAGCCTTGCAGACTGTGGATGACAATAATTGCATGACTGCAGTGATTCGCTTAACAACGGTGGCCAGAAAGGTCGTAAAATGGGGCAAAGCTCACTTAAAAAATGTCTCACTTAACAACAGGGGTTTTGGGCTCAATTGTGGTCGCAAGTTGAACTGTACACAAGATGGAGAGACTGTATCGCTTATCCATTTCTTAAATGGCTTGGATGGTTCCAGGGTGCGTTTTTTTTTTAATGCTTTAATTTCCTGGAGGTATTGGGAGCATTACTTGCCAGTTTGGTTCCCTAAAGGAGAAATAATTCAAAATTCTTTCTCCTCTCTTAAGACTCCTAGGAAGGTGGTATGTATAAATCTCTCCTTTCTACATTGGGGAGGGGGGGCATGGTGGCTCAGCAGTTAACTGTTGGGTTTGTCAGCTAGAAAGCTGGCATCCCAGGTTCGAGACCCAAGCACCGCGTGATAGGGTGAGCTCCCATCCTTGCCTCAGCTCTTGCCAACCTAGCAGTTCGAAAGCATGAATGTGCGAGTAGATAAATAGGCACCACTTTGGTGGAAAGATAACAGTGCTCTGTGACGTCATGTTGGCCACATGATCATGGAATGGACAGAGTTAGCTCAATGGCCTTGAAACATTGGGAACAGCATGGTGACTCATCAGTTAAGCCATTGGGTTTGTTGGCTAGAAAGCTGGCAGGCCAGGTTCAAGACCCGAGCGCCATGCGACAGAGTGAGCTCATGTCCTCGCCTCAGCTCCTGCCAACCTAGCAATTCGAAAGCATGAATGTGCGAGTAGATAAATAGGCACCACTTTGGTGGAAAGATAACAGTGCTCTGTGACGTCATGTTGGCCACATGATCATGGAATGGACAGAGTTAGCTCAATGGCCTTGAAACATTGGGAACAGCATGGTGACTCATCAGTTAAGCCATTGGGTTTGTTGGCTAGAAAGCTGGCAGGCCAGGTTCAAGACCCGAGCGCCATGCGACAGAGTGAGCTCATGTCCTCGCCTCAGCTCCTGCCAACCTAGCAATTCGAAAGCATGAATGTGCGAGTAGATAAATAGGCACCACTTCGATGGGACGGTAACATCACGCTAGCCGTGACATCACGCTAGCCACATGACCGCGGAAATGTCTTCAGACAGCGCTGGTTCAATAGCTTTGAAACAGAGCCGAGCACCATTCCCTAGAGTCGGCAACGATTAGCGGAGTAAAATCATCAAGGATTCCTTTCCCTTTACTCTTCCTCCATTATATTCACAACGCTCCTGTGAAGTAGGCCCACAAGACAAGCCAACAAGATCCTCTAGCAAATTTTGCAGCTGGGGAACGGCAGCCCTATTGATTTACTCAAACTACAAAGCCTTGTACTTGTTTTTATGGAATGATACGGGAGAGGGCCTTTGTCCCCACAAGCGATGGTTAGCTCTGTCTGCCAACTCCCACCCCCACTTCCAGGCTATCTCCCTCTCCCCTTTTCACTTTTTTGCACCCTTCAAACGTAAGTCAAGTATGCAACGGCGGGCCCTACGCTGCACCTGGAAACAATTTTATCACCCTCGAAAAAATGTGCAAATACCATTAAGTGAGACAGATTTTCTCATTAATTTTCTCTCCCTCTGACAGGCTAGGAATTAACACCATTGATTTCTCGGCTCCTGCTCATTATCAATCATCCCAGGGCTTACTCACACATCGTCTGATTCCCCCTGATCCACCTTCGGGAGCCGGCAATGTGCATTAAACAAGTCTGGGGCGCTGGATTCGGCACGGCACGGCATGGCTCGGGGGTTGGGATCTCTGACACCAGACGAAGGCTCAAAGCTTCCGAAACAAAACTGTGGCACTCGGGGCAACACGGTAGTTAGTACTATAGTGGTCCATGGTGCTGGGCACATCATCATAATAATCATTTTATTGTCATTGTACATCAGTGGTGGGTTGTCCCCGGTTCGCACCGGTTCTATAGAACTGGTAGTAAAACCGGCGGGAGGCTCCGCCCCATCATCATCAGAACGCTTCTGCGCATGTGGAGCCTCTTCTCGATGCACGGGCACGCAGAGCTGCCAAAAGGCAGGAGTGGCTCCTCAGGAGGAGGTCTCCTCGAGAGTAAGGCTTGGGGTTAATTGGCCACTCCCTTAGCCTATTTAAGGAGGAATGTTGACTGAAGCAATTTGCAGGGAACAACTTCGTTCACATACCTTCGTGTCTTGCCTTGCTTATCTTATCAGCTTCCTGCAAATTGCTTCTGGGCATTCTGCCAACCACACTAAGCTTACAGTATTATTCTTTGAATTCTTGGTGGCTGTTAATGCAGTTAATTAACAGCCGTTGTTGTAAAAAAACTGGTTTATTTAGTAAACTAAGGTTTGAACGGACTTTGTGTGTGCTGCATTCTTTGGGGTCTGTAGCTGGGGCAGAACGCCGGAGGGATCGAAGAGGCCATTTATGTCAAAATTGAACAGCCCTCCCTCAACAGAGGGGGAGGGATGCAACATCATCTGTCTCCGGTCTACAACACAAGTCCTTTCAACAGTTCCAAGAAGGAAGGCTCCGCATCCATTTGCACCCCTTTTCTTCCCGCTCATCTGCATAGTTCAACAGGCCACGTGGTAACCGGCTCCATCCTCATTACACCAATTACAAACTTGTTCCAAGCAGATGCCAGCTCCTTTTACTTAATAAGAAATGGCAGGACG